AGTTCATCTCATGAAAAATGGGAGCAAAAACAAAAGTGTTGCGTTTATATTTTTGTTCAGTGTAAATAAAGTACAGAAATATACAGATATTAATAGAAATAATAGAGAATTTTAAACAGTTTGCATGATTAAAAATGATGTTAAATGACATGTGAATTCAAAATTGAAAGTGAAAGTTTTAACAGTAATTTATGAGGCTGGTAAACAAGAAGCTACATCACATCTCACATACTAAGTGATAACAACAGGGTCATATCTAGTTCCTTTCCAAAGAAGGTATCAGGCGTCCCCTTCATAGGTTAATTCTCTAAGGTCAAACAACAAGAGAGGTTTTTTAGCCACTGACTGATTGAGGTCTTTTCTGGGTGTTTCCAATAGACAGATATTGCTTGAAGAAGAGAACAAATTGTTAATATATTAGTTATTAAGTTATAAAGTCTTGGAATTACAGGGAAATCACCAGAAATACATTGTTTTGGGCATTCAGGTAGTTTGGCTGAAACTATTTCCGGTAATGTTCCCAAACCATCCTTAAATAAATATTTAATAATTGTGTCCCAAAACATTAAGGCAGATTGGTCTTTTCTTTTTTAATAGCTGAAAATGCAAATTAGGCCACGTATGTAAAGCATACAAAATACATGGTAATTTATTAATAGTATAACTTTGCTTTAACAGTGCTGTGTCATGTGCATAGAAACTCTTATTACAGGCAGAAGGCATTGTATAAATCACACGCTATGTGTTTTATAGGATCATTGCTTAATTATTTGTGATAATTGCAGCACATTTTGGATAAACAAACCATACATCACAAGTACAAAATAAGCAACCCTCTTACATTAGAGAGTGTGAATATGCAGTGACTCTGAGCTGTTATTGGACGATCAAAATGTCACATTGTTCCATGTTTGTGACACTTCTATTTGGCCTTTACCAAAAATAAACATGTCATCATCTCTCATTCTGTGCAGCTAGTTATTGATAATATGCATGTAAGAACAGAGAATTTAAATTTTCATTAAAGAGATGAACTGGAGGACAGCCAGACTATTTAGGTAAATCACAGATATGATTCAAAATCCGTGGACGTTACTTCCATTATGCAAATTTGTGTTTGAGAAAAGGGTTTCATAACCTTAGTTATTTGCGGAGAAAATTGTTCAAATTATTTTCGTAATGATGTAGAGGGATTTAACGTGTGAATTTCACAGTCAATTTATGGCCCCGTTGAGTAGTCACACGGCTGCTCCTTGTTTAATAACTTCTTCAGTCTGACTGTTTAACTTCAAGTGTTAAAACCTCAGATTTTTCATGTGAGCACGAAAGAATCCCAGTGAGCTTTTTTTGGGCGGTGGCCTAGTGGGCCAGCGGTGCTCCTATGCAAACACTCACATTTGTATGTGTGCAATACTTAAATAAAGGCGATCCTTGTGTGGAATATATAACATGATATAACACACCATGCCATTTATTTTCGCCCCACAACCTGAGAAATACAAGTAAAGCAATTTAGATTGGAGTGAAATATTCAAGTCCTGTAATGAGAATGATTTGGGGTTAAGAAAGCTGCTTGGTGGGGTGTACCCTTAATAGAAAAAGGCCCGGAGCCATTGGATTCCCATAAACTCTGTGGAGCTGACTTGATACCCATAGGTCAGTGATTGCTAATAAGAAGTCAATGAGACATGGGCTCGGGTTATTTTCCTTTGGATCTGCTCCTCCAAACTTGCCCGGTCCTCTAGGCCGCTGACCTCGGAGTATTTAGAAGGTATTGTCTTTGAAATTCCAGGTACTTTTGAGCTTGTAGACTTTCTCATTAGTTCCTTTTGAACATGGCAAACATATGGCAGTCGTATTTAAGAGATTGCCTGCCGTGACCTTTTGCGGCATGCTAATTAGGCCCCAGAGCACTGCAGGCCGCGGAGAGGTGCAGCGAGTCTCTATCCCACTTCTCCCTCTCTGGCTCTGTGCTCCCGTCTCATCTCGGCTCTGCCTTATCTGCTCGCTGCCCCGGCCCTTCCACAGTGTGGGTTTCAAAATTAACATTTCGCTTCATGTGCTTCTAATAACCACTAACCTGAACCTGTACAACTCCCCTCTTCCCTTCCCCACTTGCCAACCCCCAACTCCTCTTTCTCTCGCCTCTCGCACTTTCCACAGGAAATAAACGCGCCCAAAATTACTTTGACCCGTCGTCGGCGGAGCAGACAGACCCAAGGCATTGCGGGATGGCTGGGGTCAGCACTGAAGATGAGCTGGAATTAAGTATGCCATTCTCCGTCATAATAGTTCTCCTCGGTTCATTAAAGCGAGGTGAGAGAGATCACTGGTAGCAGTTTGCCATTTGAGACGCCAGGACGGTCTATGTAAATATACCAAGTGATGGCATCACTAGATTGGCTATCTAACCGGCTGTCATTGACGAAGGTCACGTATCATTGGTCAACTCTCATTCCATGATGGCGTTTTCTCCCCCTTTTCAAATGGCACACGCAGAGCCATATCAATAGTTTGCAGCCCCCTCCCAAAGTAGGCCTATTAAAAGCGAGCTCTTGGGAGAAAAGTAATATGCTTGTTATAATGAAACATGGCTATTAATGGAGAAGCCATTACACCTGTATCTTTTGGATATCACTGCCGTGTAATATCAAAGGATTCGCCAAACCAAATCTCATCACATGATGACAGGCCGGCTAACAGGCATGTTAATGCTCCTATTTCATTACCCCTCTGCATACTTGATTTTCAGCCCTCTCCAGCCACGGCTAATTTCCCTCGTTCGCATGTTAGGATGTGGTTTAGATTGACTTGTCTGATATGTAGAAAGTAATTTTGAAGCACACACATGCACGCAATTTTCCAGCACCTTTGAGGGTGTACTCACGTTATAATTGTTTTGACTTGTAGCAATATTGAACGCTGATGAAAACAGGCTGTATCACAGAATGGCTGCGATGCTGGATGAGGACGATACCTTCATAAATATACCAGGTATGTATCCCAGAGTTACTCTAGTCCTGTATCTTGGCTATAAGGAAACATATAGTCAAAATAGCAATGAATAAAACATTTCTAACTTTCTAACTAAATAATATATATATTTATTATTATTTAAATTCAGAACAATTTAATATAATCAATTTTCGTATTTTTTTTTAATACCTTTCCAAAGGTGCTGAGATGGAGTGTAATCATTATTTCCTCACAAATTAGAACATTTCGTGTGTTTGTTTGGTAATATATGGAAAAAAACATTGTGATATAACATCCTCAAACTAGAATACCAAAGTTACAGTAAAACAGTCAGGTTGTTAACATCAGCGTTAACAATGGTGCCGGTTGCAGTCTTAAGGTGCAGTATTTTAAAGAGAAGCTCAAGACAGTGATATCATAAACAACCCAGACAAAAATAAGACTACATTTTCCACCAACACTTAAAGCAGCATTAACAGAACAAAGAATAAGACTAGAAGCGGACTTTCACTTATACTCAGTGCTTTCCAAGCACAGCCATTGTTTCACAGTAGGCGTGCCTTTTCTCATTAGCTCAGTTTCATTTGAATATGTAGCCAGCCAGGCAACACTGAGGTGGTTTAAGCTTAGCATTGTTCTGGGTGAAGACAGTCGCACCAGATCCTGTTGACATGACGCACATCTCTCTTGTAATTCCAGCGCACAAGTGATGGGTTTAGGCCCGCTTCAACACGGTAGAATTTAGCCGGCTTGTATTATTTGCCATTGTCTTGGATTTAGCTGTACCACCGAGATTAGCAGCCCCATCCATTGTCTTGGAATGTTCATGAAATCCCACAGAAAGTAAAGAGGATCTCGGATTAACAGTTCCTCCATGCAATAGGCTGAGAGACTGGGAGAGGAAGAGAAGGAGGAAGAGAGAGAGCTCTTACTTCTGTACTGTTGGAGTCCAATTGCGGCGACTGCCAGTAAGCACTTCACCGAGCCACAATAGACTTCCAGACAATCACCTTATGCCGTTGTGTGATGCCTCCCACCGGTGTAGGCAAGTCTTCTTTTGCAGCTTCAGAACCAGCTCAGTGTATGTCAGTTCTGATCCTGACATTTTGTGATTGTTTCTCAGGGTTTTGTCTCAGCTTTAACAGTCTGCTACAAAGCACATCTCACAAGAAAGAGCATGAATACGACAAAGTATTAATGAAATGGACAGTGGCCAGTGCCGTAGACACCTTCTCAGAAAAAAAGAATCCTAGAGAAATCCCTTCTGTCTGTCTAAGATCTTCAGCTCTTGAAACATTCTATTGCTTTGGCTTGGAGATGAAAGAAAACTGAATTGGTACTCTATTCATTCTAGTTCTCTGTAAGGCGTGAGGTATTGATATCAGCTTCTATGTGAAAAGCATTAGGCAGTGATAACGGCTTTGGCTGTTGCACATCTTGGACTGCACACGTTGAATACACGGATGCTCGAAGAATACCTTCTTGTTTCTACCAACGAGGCGGCGAAGCAAAATTGAAAAGACGCACAGCAAGCAGGTTAGCTAAGATGCTTCTCTGCTTTCTGTAATTGATTCTAGGCTGCTAAATAGAAACTAATTCAAATACAGTGTAGAAGAAAACTTTTTTTCTATGTATGTTCCAATTCAAATGAACTCATTGCCAAAGCAGGATCTTCCTTTGATTCTTGTATAGAAACACATTGAATATCTGAGATCTGTAGCATCAGTTCAACCATGTGCACCCTATTTTATATCTGCTATTTTCTTTTCTTTTATTAGGAAATTCCAGCCATGCGTTTGTCTGTTCCTGCATGATTTTGGATGAATGGTATAATATATTTCATTTATAAGACTCGAACAAACATCTTCTAACACTTTAGCAAAAAACTAGCATAGCAGGCTAATTTATTCGTGTTTAATGGCCTTGTAGAACTAAGGTCCTGTTAATATGTTTATGTAAAACTCAAGAATTGAAGGATAAAAAGGTTCTAAAGTGATAACATGCATATTTTGTCAATGCTCACACTTGGCGTTTGTGTGAGGTACTGTCATTGTCCACCTTCATGGGTCTGTATACAGTCTCTGTAAGTGTATGTCTGGATGTGGTAAATATATGCACATCCATCAGTACGTATGTGTGTGTGTGTGTGTGTGTGTGTGTGTGTGTGTGTGTGTGTGTGTGTGTGTGTGTGTGTGTGTGTGTGTGTGTGTGTGTGTGTGTGTTTGCCCACCGATGCATATCTCTCCAGGTACGCTGCTAGCCTCCAGGGATGAGGAGGTGTTGGAAGTGAAGGCGGGTGATCCAGTCCTTCAGCTCCACGGTGGTGGTGAAGCCTCGGGCTCCACACCCTCCCAGACCCAAACCATCGCCAAAGCCCAGACTGGGGCCAGTGCTGGGCCGGGAGGAGAGGCTGGACTCGAAGCAGGGAGGATGGTAATGGGCAGAGAGAGCGCTGTAAAAAGTAATGCTATGCTTTTATTTACGTTTTGAATTTGATAGCTGGATCAATAATATTAAGTATAGTATAGAATATGTTTGCTTTGCACATGATATAAATTGATCATTAGAAGATATAGCGAGTAATTAAGTGGTGGAGGAATGAGTCAACGTTGTTTTAAACGTGTTGGTGTTTAGAAGCCTAAAACAAGTTCTGTAGTTAGAACAAGCTAAACAGATTTTCACTTTTTATTGTACGACACAAAACACACCTCTAAATACCATAGACTGTAGGTAAATACCCTATTCGTAAATGTCAGAAAGCTTCTTTGTGTCATACAAACAGCGGTTGCTACGAAGTGACTACTAAATGAGGTACTAAATGTCATCACACCGAACATAAGCCACCTTGGGGATAGCGGTGGTGAAGCACTACATTGGCTTTTTACTTTAGCAATTGTAATGTACGCTTCATAATATAAAGTGGTTTTGAAACATGAGGAATATCGGGCCGAACACATTTTTTTTAAATATCGTGAAACATGTTTGCCACAGAGCTTATTTTCTTAAATATTCACAAAGATTGTCGATGCTTACTTCCTGGTCGGCCTACTAAGTACATCATCACTGCACCACTCTTATTCCAGGACGTTACATTCATTTTTGTTGAATTTGTCTTTGAAAAATATTTCATTCATAGATTTACAAAATTCTAAGAATCACTCATCACGCAACAGTAGCATTTCATTATGGATAAATATGATAAGGTCTGTATTATTTCTTGCAGTGAGGCCAGTGGAGGAGCAGATCCCCCACTACGCCCAGCAGCTGAGGGAGCGTGTGCGGCCTGACATGATCACGCTTGGCAGCCTTTCACTGCAGCAGGTCAGGGCTACAAAGAGGAATATCTGTGTCATCATCCCATATTCACCAGCACATCAGCCATGTCCATTATGCTGTGTATCAGTGGCTGCGGCTAATGGACATAGAGTGTGTGCATGTGTGCGTGTACATTTATCTGTTTTGTCTATCTGTATGTGTGTTACATTCTCAATTTTCTCTTTCCTTGCTCCATTTTTTTGTTCCCAACCTCTTTTCTTCCCACTGCCACCTTTGTAAAAGTTCTGCATTTCATTTTCAGTGATCTGAATCTCTGCTGAATGCACTCATTTGAAATTGCTTTTTGTAGAACATGCATTCAAGGTTAGATAACTCATTCATCCTCGGCTCAGAATGAGTGCATGGATTTCTGCTGTATAATCTACGCTACATAATATCCTCGCACAATTAACTTATTTGTGGAGACACTTTTGTTCCGTCTTTGAACTTTGTTTTGCATTATTACGCATATTTGTTTCTCACAGAAGCAGATTTTTTTTTCTTTACCCGTCTTATGTTCTTTTCAGGAAAAATAGAGCGTGACTACTTTTTATTTGCCAACTGGGGAAGTAGGGATATTGTGAACTAGCGGTAAGATCTGAAGCTCCTTTCAAAACAAGTGTTTGTAGTCTATAAATCGGAAATGGGAGAGGATACAAGAACATGGGGTTTCCATTGTGTTGGCAAATCTAGATTGCAAAGAAACCCAAACATTAGCACATACGTAAAGAGAATGCACAACTTCCATCCTCTGTATTTTTAGTCATAATCTTGCTTGAAAAGAGAGTAGGAGTATCAAATGATATGAATAGAAAGTAAACGTAATTGGGAAAGAAATGCTTTAACAATGTCTCACTAGCAACAGTTGACTCATCCTCCCTTACTGGATAATCAGCAGCATCTACTGTGTACTGTATCAGTATTGGGATCAGTGTTATCTTATTCTGCTATAATATGTATGCGCTTTCCTACTGTTTCCACACCCACCTCCCATTGAAAGCACATTATCCACCAGAGATTTCACATCTATTTTAAAAATAATAGCGTTTTTCTTCTGTCTCTATTCTGCCGTACAAAGCCTCTACAGGGCGAGACGCTGTCACTTAGCAGAGTCAATGCATGTGAATGGGGAGTGTGAATGTGCTGACTGAATGTAAAACCGGCAGAAATACTCATCAAACGCTACATGTCTTAAGGGCCTGGCTCAGTATCGATTGCCTGCAGATTGCATTACAGTTGCTCCTTGTGCTTAATTCTGCCATTATGGCGCACTGCACTGTTCCATAAAGCTGCATCCAAAGAAAGTGTGCATGTGTATTTACACGTTTTTTCAGCAGGCGGCTCAGAAGGGACCGCTGAAGAGGAGTGAGTGGGCAAACAGAAAGAAGACGCTAATGGACTTCTTTGCTGGAAATGTTAAGGTAAAGACCCGTCTGATGTATATGTGAAGCATATGTTGGTTTTTAGTTTTAGATAACCACCTATAGATCATTTTAAAAGCAATTCTCCCATAACACAAAAGCTTGAGCGCTCATCTATTAGAAATATTTAATAACACTCAGTCACAGAAATAAAAAAAACATCTTACATCATCATTTAGATTGATGGGTTTTAAATGAAACTGTCAATTAGCGGATAATGACTGTTAACACATTAACAGTGTTTGTTAACATATCCACTTTAATATTTCAAAGGAGCCTCATTCACAAAGAGACTGTGACGATGCTCCGCAGCCCAGACCGAACACACTGCTGCAGTGGTGAGCCCTCTCCATGTTTCTCTCCATATTGATGTCCCATGACTGTAATTGTGCGAAAAGCATTCGTATTCCCACTGACGTTCAAGAAGGAATGTAATTCACATGTCCTCTGCATGGCTTCTCCCGTCAACGAGCATTGCATTGTGGGCATTTTGGCTCGAGGGCGCAGAAATCCGTCCATGTCATCGGGCTTGGAGGCGCATCCATTTTTGGTCCATCCACTTTAGTATGAGATCACACATCAGATCTCGCAGCGAAGCCCCGTGGGCAATCGGCTTAGCATGTTTAACTTTTTAGTAATTACGGCGCTGGCTGACATGATAAAATCACAAACCACTGTACTGTACAGTATCTCCTCTTATGTTTGGTTGTGTTATGGGTGGGTGGTAGTCGGACACCAGCCCTGTCAGATGAATGTGGTTCGGAGTTTAGCAAGATGACCTCCTCTCGACAGCCTTGAACTCTGTAAATTCCTTCTGATATCAATGGTGGGTGGCTATTAGGCATGGGAGACTTTCTATGCATCACCTAGGGCTACATCTGCCTGAAATTTAATGAGAAATGATTCCACTTTTTCTCTCCCTGCGCCTATGAAAGGAAAATAAAATAAAGAGGAGAGAGCTGACTTGTGGTTTTTGTAACAAATGTGTAATTCATTTGTTTCCACTGTTTCTGATTTAATGGAGGTCGAGTAATTGCATTAAGAAGCACATTGTGCCTTGTTGTGAACTGATGAAAGCACATGTAATACTTTTGATAGGCGAACACTGAGGAGGGAGAGAAAGGGAAGAAAGACCCAGTGCCTGCCTTTGATGCCGAGCATTTATTTGCTGAATTATCCCTCCCTTTACAAGCATCTTATCCCCAGTCACAGGCAGGCCAGGGCTCCTCTGATATTGCTTTATTTTGAGGAATTAAGAGAGGTGGCGAGGAGACAGAGCGAAGCAGCCGCTTATTACATTACCAATGATAAGATTGAAACGGCAAGATAGGCAGGGAGAGAGAAAGAGAGGGACCCGGTGGAAAGTGTTTTGTTGTGGTGTTATTAGATTGAGCTGCTGTTGGCTACAGAGTGGAACAACAGAGTCCAAAATGCAGGTGGCTGTTAACAGGGTTAGCTTCTTGTATTTTTATTTGTGTGTGTGTGTGTGTGTGTGTGTGTGTGTGTGTGTGTGTGTGTGTGTGTGTGTGTGTGTGTGTGTGTGTGTGTGTGTGTGTGTGTGTGTGTGTGTGTGTGTGTGTGTGTGTGTGTGTGTGTGTGTGTGTGTGTGTGTGTGTCTAGCAGCAGAACCATTGAAAGCCCTTCACTCAGAGCGCTGGGGGAAGGCCAAGAGGAAGCGATGGCCAAATACGGTCAGATGACAGAGCTCCCAGAATCCTCCTCTTCGGCATCACGACCCCAGTGGCAGGTAGGATCTGTTAGCCGCTCTGACTGTGAGCTGCACAAACAGGAAGTGACATAGCCCTTAATCTCCTAAAGGCTTGTATCACAGGGGGAGATATCGATCCCGAAATGTTTACCCAAAAAAATGCAGGGTTTGTTTGTGCAAAAAACACTGCAATGATGTAATTATATGAAATCATGCCACGAGTGGGACCTGTAAGGGAATAAGGACATTATCTCCCATGTTTTTCAAATTCCTTCACTCCTTTCATTACACTATTGGGTACTGTATGCCAACACAAAAGCACATTCACATAAAGGCACCATGAGCAAAGACCCTCTCATATACTGTATGCTAACTATTCAGTCGCATTCTTTTTATACAGTATAAAGATTTTTTTCCCTCCTGCTTTGTGCGGATGGCGTCTGTGGTTTTAGGAATTTAAGTAGGAGGGAAAAGGAGTCTTCGGAGATGAAAAAAGGGGAACAGAGAAGTGGGAAAGAGAGGAGGAAGCTGCAGCTTTAGCGGTAGCATCAGCAGCTGTGGGAGGAGGCTGCTGTTGTGTTGCATCTGGGGATGAGGCTGCCATGCCACCATGCTGGCTTAAAGATGTAATGAATCTTCAGTCGGGGGCTTTCCTTCCAGGGTGACAACTAGCTTTGAGGAAGGTTGTAAATGCAGGGGAGATTGTGGTATAATTCCTCAGACTGGCGTTTGTGCCCCCCAGTCACCATTCGATTATCTCCCAAATTGCTGTGTTTCACTGAGATAAAGATTTTTTATGGCTTGCTGACTTGAAACAACCGGCACAGGCAGAATAGGGGGCAAAAGAGGGAGAGGGAACGAGAGAAAGAGAGGGAGAGAAAGCAATGGCCAAACCTGCCACGCATAGTAATTTCTTTTGGTAAATGACAAAATCTTTGTTTATATGACATTTCCCTAAAATGACTGCAGCGAGATGAATCTGAAATATAAAATGTCACATTTGGCATGCAAAACTATGAAAATATATATCTGTGCAAAATTCATGGAGGCATTTAATTTAGAACGTGTTTAATAACTAAGGCAGCCTGCATCAGTAATCCTGCCCGGAGGTCCCAAAAAGATTGTCATATTTATTCTCTGCTTTCTTCACCCCCCTCCTTCATTCCGAAGCCAACAATTTTTAAGGGTAAATGTTCATTGTTAATTAAGATTTACTAATTAAAATGAAAATAATTAACGAGAAAGCTTAATCTCTGAATATTAGCCCATACTTAGAAAGAAAGGAAGTTTTTGTATGTGGCATTTCCTGTCTCTATTAAGAGTGCATTTTGTGTGATCAGTCAATGTGTGGAAAGCCCTGAAAAGATGTTTCAGCGAGAGGACGGCCGCTTGCCAGAAAAACCACGGAGGATCCCTCGCTGGAGCCTTTGATCTCATCTGTAGGAGTTCTGTAATGTTATGGCACTTTAGGCACAACTCAGGCTCGGGGCAAACAAACCACCTCTGATATGGAAAATTGTCTCACTTCACCTTTTACCTTCTTCGACCGTCCATTACACGCAAAGCAGGCAGGCCGGATAATAACAATACCTCCTTATATTGGACCGCGTTATTGTTGTTTATTTATTTACCTCTTTTCCCCTCCTTTATCATCCTCCTCCTCTTCCTTTCCATCTCTTTCCAGTGTGGGGGTTTGGAGGCCTCCATCACTTCCTCCCAAATGTAAGATGTGTGGGCTAAACCGCTTTGCCACCAATTATACTAATTTCACTTCTGCCTAAATTGTTTTTGTTGTTTCGGTGTGCAAAGATACTCACAGTGGGTAGATTGAGGGGCATTACTGCAGGGCTCAGCACACACCTTCCCCCCTCACACACCGGTGTGAGGTGAACGTGTGTGTGATGTGTGTCAGGTTGTTTTGGTGACAACACTGGCTCTATTTGGCAGACACATTTAACATTTGACCTAAGTTGGTCAACTGATAATTCAAGTACATCAAATAAATTCGCTTCGCAAGATAGATCTAAGATTATCAAAGGGAAACAAATGCATGCACTTAAAAAAGATAACAGGAGATGCATAAATAGGCCTTTTTTAGTATTGATACTGTATACGATAACTGGGGTTTCGATATCGTCTGATTCTAGGTACCGATTGAATAGCAGTGTTTGATAATAAGATTCATTCCTAAGCCATTGGAATCCTTCTTTCATGTTTAAGGCCACATCAGGCTTTACCTAAACATTGCTTCCTCACATTATAAGACAAAATCCATCCATTCAGAATCATTACTTGGTAGTGAAAACATTCACTGTGCACCTGCAACACTTTTGAAATGTGTTGATCTTGTTGCTTAGCCTCATGCTTCCGGAGGTGCCTCATTAAGTTGGTTATGTTATATCTTTAATTTGGCACCCTTCGTGAAATATGGCAAGTAGTATTAATACATGTTGGAGTAGTAAGTATGAAATACCTCCAAACAGCTGACATGTTGAATATGTTTTCCGTATCGTAGTGCAATCAGGCGAAAACGTAGAATCAAACTGAATAGATCAGCCCAATTGTCTCGGAATTGCCTTTCCAGCTATATAAACTAGAACCTGCAAATATCCCATACTAGTAGTGGATAGGTGCAACCCTAGATTGGACAGGAAAGGATAGCGTGTGTTAGATGAACAAATGGATGGACAACATGTCCAAACAAACAACAAGGGACCAATCAGCATTGCTACTAAAGATTAAAAACATATCAGTGATGATAAAAGAAGTGGCTCTGCTTAAGCCAGATTGACTTTTCATTTAGTGCTGTTCAACAGATGCCATAGGGGACAAGAGACTGAATATGTATTTACATTGTTCTCTGATTATGTTTCATAAAAGTAAACTGTCGCACCACCCTATTACTCATGCTAAGCCCTAAAAAGGAGGCACATGTCAACAAAAACAAACAAGCAAATAAACAACAAGTGGGCTGATGTAGCCTGAAGGTTGTTGGGATGAGCTCGTTACCACAAGTTTGGCGTTTTCAAACCTTCATCTGAATGGGCAGTGTGGCCAGGGGAAATAAATACCGCTCTCAACTTCGATAACAAGGAATGCTGATGTGCCCTTGAGCAAGGCACTTAACCTCTAAATGGTTGAATGGAGATCATCGGATGGAAGCCCGCAGCTGTACGGGTTAGTCTTACATACATGACTGCTTCACTGCAGTTGGACAAAAACACTTCTCTTGTTAAGAAAACGTACCTGAAGTTGCCTTCCTCAAAAACAAATACAAAGTGTCATGGTTAGGAATCATCATTTAGAAGTTGTCAATGCTCCAACAAGCGACAAAAAACCCCATTATCTAAGACTGTGGCCATGCTGTCTTAAGTCCAGATGTTGTTCCTAATATTATATTCATTGGATGGGCTAGATATAGCAAGGTTGGGATATTTCTGTCACTTCACTCCTTTAAGCCCCTGTCACACTGTCCCGAAATTGACACCCGATGGACACACGAATATGGAATTGTGAATTTCGCACGAAGATGGCCCTGAACCACACACGAAGGCAACATTTACATTACATTTAAGACATACAACTGTAACGAAAGTAACGAAAACGATTATGTTAAAGTACTATGATACTGTACTGATATTTTCAGACTTTGTTCTTTACTTTATCCGTCTTTATATGTAGAAGATATTAAGTTTTCTCCGTAATGTTGTTTCCATAGCAACAACAACTTCCTGTCAGCTCGCCTTCAAAATAATATATTATATCCTTTTCAGTTTCACAGAACACAAATTGGGTTATTTACATAATATGTTTACATGATTTTGTTGTGCAATAAAAGAACCCGATGGACACACGATAAAGGAAATGTTCAAAATTCGGCTCTGATCGTAGCAACATCGGGCCATTCGTGAGGGCATCTTAAGCCATCGTATGACCGCCGGTGGAGTTTTGTAGGCTCCGGCAGCAACTTCGTGAGCGGTGGCAAAATCTTTGGCATGCCAAAAAATTGCAGAAGGACCTTGCGAAGGTTCATTTTCGTGTTGAATTCGTGTGTCAATTTTGCCACCTTCGTAAGGCCACCGTTGTTATCATCTGTGCCNGCGGTCATACGATGGCTTAAGATGCCCTGACGAATGGCCCGATGTTGTTACGATCAGAGCCGAATTTGAACATTTCCTTAATCGTGTGTCCATCGGGTGTCAATTTCGGGACAGTGTGACAGGGGCTTTAGTAAATGACATGTTACTTTGGTTTTTGTTATTACCTTATTTTCTGATATGGTGCAATAATGGAACTAATAAAGGTATTCTGATTCTGATAATGTTCTTAACAAGGATGTTGTCGGGTTACAGTATGTCATGAAATCTAAGGTAAAGACCATGCTGTGCTACACTAAAGTATTTTCTACAATAACAAAAAAAATTGTCAATCAAGATTGATTGGTTCAACAACTGCTAAGTATTTACTGTAAGTAACTAAGGAGCGCAGTTACAAAGTATTTCAGTAATACCAACAACTGGAGGGTTTCCCTTAAAGGTGACCTATCATGCAAAATGCACTTTTGTACGTCTTTTATACATGAATATGTGTCCCCGGTGTTCCAAGGAACTCACCAAGTGTCAGAAAACACAACCCTCTCTATTTTCCTCCATACCCAAATCTCTTAAAAAGGGGCTGCAACGGATCTGATACAGACTGATCCAGATTTGAACACTTCTATGACGTCACAGAAGTGGCGCTACGGCTATTGGGCCAACTACACCAATCAGGAGGAGACAGCCACGGACATTGCCGTTGGAAAGCGCTAGAGACGCTGTAGTACATATGCCAGGATGGTGCTGTTCTCACAGAATCAGGAATGGCTAAAATGCATGATCTGTTTGGTATTTTGAAAAATAAAAAGTATAAATATGCTTTATATAGGTATGGTCCTACACTATATTATTCAAATATAACATGATAGGTCCACTTTAATAATCTGAGGTAAAGACAGCACTGAGCTACGCTAAAATTCACAACTCCTTAAACTAGGGTAAGGGATAGGTCCTTTAGGTCACAACCCAGAGTCCCAACCCTAACCCTAAGGACAAGAAGTGATAGCGATATTTCTAAGTTCAACAACAGCTAACTATGTAAGTAAATAAGGAGGGAAGCTACAAAGTATCTAAGCAAGTATCCCTTATTTACATAGCACTCCTTAAAAGAGTTATGTAGTGCATTACAGACGATAACATAAGTCTTGACAGCATTTACAACTTGGTAAATATGGAAGCCAAACACTGTCAACAATGTTTGTTTATCAGAGGGAGGTCATTACTGATAGCTCATAGTGCAACATTTAATTAACAAATATATACGCTTTCGTAAGATGAAGTTGATAATCAATTATAACATTGTTACACTTAACTGCAAACAAACCCTGACTATAATCTATAGTCTTAATATAATTATAAGGGTTTCTAGTGCTAGGGTGCACCTGTGTATCAACTTAATTTGCTTATAATAGTTGAAGTTCTTCTCCAATACACAATCTTTACTTGTTCTGTGAAGTATGTCGTCCAACACTTTGTAAATAATGGGTTTGACATTGTTTTGACTATATACAGTACGCAGTTCTTCTGTCAATAATCCATGCGTTGTATCACTGTCCACTGTAATACAATCAGTTGATGTTAGAAAAAATGAATAGAATATTGTAATCAGACCTTATGTTCTGTGTGTTACAGGTGGACCAGATCACATCCCCTCAGCCTGTGGAGGTGTGTGTGTGTTGCCTCAGAGCCACCAGAGACAAGCTGCCGAGGGGCCTCTACACAGTCAGTGTGGCCCTTCACAGCCGTCTCGGGGGTCCAGCTCTGGCCTGGCGCAGTAAGAAGGAGCAGCATGAGCGGGCGGTGTCCACGGAGCCCATCGAGCATCGTGGCCGCTACTGCGACACCGACCTGAACATCAACCAGAGCCTGTTCATGGTGAGGACAAAAGCAGAACATAAAACACAGAAAGAAGAAAGAAGCATTTAAAAAAAGCAAACACTCAACAAGACATCAGAAATATCTCGCTTTTTTTGTGGATTTAGACAAACTGCTTGAATTTCAAGCAAAAATTAGTCATAACTGAATTCAAACAAAACAGAGATCATTGTTGCGAAAATAAACCCAGAGGTTGATTTTTGAGGTACCAGTAAAAAGTTGTTTTCCTGTATTGACACTAACACTTTTTATACACAAAAGGAAAGGACAGAATCAGGTTGTGATTTGTTACCCTGCAATTTCATTTAATAACCACCTCTTTATTCATGCGATGCTTGGGGACACTGCTTTGAATATTTCTTTTATTTCCTGGAAAATATTTGAATAAATATAAATATCTCTTATCCAAAAGCAATTTTGACATTGAGGGAACCTGAATTAAAACACACTCACTTTCAATAACCCAGACAAAGCCTTTGATGTGAAATACAACGGAAAGTCTCAGTAAAGCGCAATCTGAAAACAAACAGTCCCCTCAGATAAAAGCCAACAATAAAACATGCTTTGCTAATATGGCAGAACCGACTACACTCGTGTTTAGTTTTTTGTTTTTGCCACATTATTTCCGAAATTCCTCTTTCCCCCGGTTTCATCAGTTGCAGTGAAGATTGAAAGGGTTATGAGAAAGTTATATTGCTGTAAAAGACGGGATATGAAAATACGGCACGCATAGCCTCTAGGTTTTTCTCCGGGGATCTCCGTATGAATAAAACAACAACTTTTCAAACATGACATTTAATCCATGCATGTAAATCAAACCGCAGATCAATTATTCATTTATATAAGGAAGTAATGTTTTATTGGAATGAAAATGTACAAATGCAATGAAAAATGTAGTGTCTTTTCTGCACGTCTTTGAGCCTCTGCAACTGGATAAAAGGAGGAAGTTGACTAAAATTAGTATTAAAAATTCAACCTCCATTCCCAATGTACAGGACTACCTGTTTCATTCTTGGTCCTTTTCATGAAACAAAACATCAGATTACATTAAATCTATGCACATTTCACAACCACTTCCTTAAACCTCTTGATTTGAGGGGAAGACATCCTCCATAGAAGCTTATTTTAAAAACCTGCATTCTCGTTTTGGATGGTCGATATTGACCAGTGGATTAGATCTCTTTGTTTGTGTTTGTTCATGGACGGTGTGTGCACAGTAGGCAAGATTCACAAGAGAAAAGCCTTAAAACAGAAGGCACTAAATCCAGTGTCCCTCATAGAGTTTTGTACAGGCTCAGGAAGGGCTTCTTCAGTGATCTGATGGCAACTCTACAGGCCTTAGCTGGAGCATTTAGCACATGTGGACACTGCCAATGTGCTGGTGGGCGTATTCACTGAGCTACAGCAGCTTGATAATATTGTCTGCAGCTCCTATAAAACATAAAGGACGGGTAAAAGCTGGCACAAAGTGAATGCGGACCTGGGATCTGATTCAGAGGTAGAAAAGGTTTAAGTACAGTGCGGTAAATGCCTCATGTCACTCTTACTCCCTCCCCAAACCCTCGGCTGTGCTATATAGACAAACCTGTTGTTGTTGTTGTTGTTGTTGTCCTCATTGACAAACAAATCTGATCAGCGTTTCCACCACTATCAGGATCAGCCTGGATGTTTTCTCTCTGCCTCTCCTCTTGCCCACACTGTAGCGTGCAATTTCAGGAGTGCTTACAGTGCCTTCTAAGAGGAAATGAGGAATTAGTGATGGTAAGAGGAAGCCAGGAGCTTATTTTCCTTTCCTCCCTCTCTCTCCTCTTTTTTTTTCATTCACCCCTTTGCTTTGTGTGTCTGGGTTTCGGATTTAGACAGAAACAGTGCAGTACAGTTGAACATGTCTTGGATATGCAAGGCAAGTGGGAGCACATGAGAGGAGTCGGCCCGACATCTGAAGAGCCCGTAGTCTTTGTGCACTTTTTTACACCGAATGGGAAGAAGCGTGAAATCCCAAAATGTAATATTAAAGCTGGAAGCAAAAGGAATGAGGAAGAAAATAAAAAGTGTAAAAACTTCTGAGGAGTTTACGGAGGTCGATGTATTTTTCTCTCATTTTATTCATTTGTTTTCCTATGTTTTGGTCATCAGGGGATCATTTTTAGTTATATGACTAAGAACTGAGTCATCTTGCACCATGTCCATTTTCTAAAGGGGCCCTAGTATGCTCATTTTGAGGTGTGTGGGAGAGAAACACCCAGAAAAAGCACAATAGAGCCTCTTTAATTAAACAAGAAATGCATTTAACACATTTAAATGGTTAAAGCAGCTCGTTCAGCAAACAGGAAGTGAAAAAAACCCTCTGAAGCACATCATCCAGGCTCACAAACCTCACTGCAACGCATCCCACACACACATGCAAACACATGTCTGCGTGCGGCACTTCACACATATGCACACAAATGACTATTTATGCAGGTCATATTTCTTACAGTAAATGAATAATATGAAATATCCTCAATATCCATAATCCGTGATATTATGCCATAAATTTGTGTCCTGACTCAGACACTACTACCCATCATTTCACAGGTGCATACCAAAAGCAGATTATCAGGGGGGGTACGGGGGGATACACATGATTTATGTGTTAAAACAAGTCCCTTGCGTTTTTCCATTACAACTAATAAAGGGATACAATATTTCCACCCAGTGATGGATGAAGTGGCACACACCTCACTGTCAGTTCATTTTTTAAGCAAACCCACCGCTCTCTGGGTAAATAAGAATGTTTGCCGTCGACTGCTAACCGCTAACACCTTTAGTTTCATGCAAGATGCCCCTTGACATGATCAGTTTGATTTATGTGGCCTAAATGCAAATTCACTTCAAAATAACTGTCAGCTCGTATACTACAATGGCAATTCTCCTCCACCCTATGTTTGAGATCAACTGTCTTTATCATTATCCAACATCTCCTTTTAGAGAATTTACAAGGTTGGACGGCTAAGAGTGGCAGTTAAGAAAGCTCTTTAAAGAACACGGACATAAGTTAAAAGAGGTTACAAGTCTAGGATGCAGATTAAGTAGCTCCCCGAGGGCTCCTGTCCTGTTTGGTACCTTCTGAGTGTCAGTTTGTCATTGGCTGGGTTGTGAGCAAGTCTATGTTCACTTACTCCCGTAGCGAGTTCAACTAAGTGGGAATGTGAGTGACTTTGTGCCTTCCGATGTGTCTGCAGATCTGTCCCGCGGCCTGTGAGGTCGTCCCCTCCATGGTCCTGGTGTTCCAGCTGATCGCACTACCAGGGGACGGCAGTTACATCAGCTCTGTAGTGGCGTGGGGGGCATTTCCTGTTTGCGGATCGAGCCTCGGTTTGGTCCAGGGCAGGTGCGTCAAAGCCGTATCAAATCATCTGTTGGTCCTCAAAATTGTTTTTATTTTTCCTTAATATTCCGTCTCATTAAACTACTACGTTCAAAACATCACACAAACTATCATAAAATTGTAATTATTTTCAGACCTTGAGTTTGAAAATACCTAACCCATCATGAATCTGGTTGTAAAGTGTCCATTACCGGTTATGTGTCATTGACCCAGGTTCAAAACCCCTCTGCTCAGGGGGGAGCCGAACACACGCCTGGACCAATTCAAAAAGATTGAAGCCGTCATCTCCTCAGATTTAGACCACTGGCTGTGCAACTTGTACTTTCAGGTGTGTGATCAGGAAACATGTGCATGCATGTTTCTTGTGCAGATGCGTATCATCTTCTTTTATGTTATATTCCTAATTGTGTGCAGGCTATATCATATTCTTGTGTGTGTGCATGTTGATATTTAGCGGGCAGGATGGTGGATTTGGTTAAACAGGGTTCGGATTTTTGGATTTCTATGATAAAAGCAATTGGCCCCAGAGAGCAAACAGGAACCACATCTTTACCCAGCGATTCCGGATGCATTATGGCTGATGCATTGATTAGATTAGTAAACATCTTAATTGAATTAAAAGCCAGAACAAAGCTTTGTGTCTTGGGGTTGTCTCTGTATGTGTCCCTTCCACTGTGACATGCTGTTTGCATTACGGCATCATCGTTACTGCTGTGATTTCAGAACAATGTTAATAGCCCACGTCTTTGATTAACAATAGGGAGTGCAGTCATACTAGCCACAAATAGGATACAAATTGAATTATTTTTAGGCAATCATGGCAAATACTAATAGTTGTCTGCAGTTTTAACTCCAACACCTGTAGTTAAATTACACACATGCTGTTTTTCCCACAAAATATGGTGATGCAATGGAAGGATATGATCATAATTGTTGTTGACATCAAAATAAAGTGGTTATATTAATGTTCATTGAACCCATATGTAGACCTTAGACACAGTGATTGTTTTTGATGTTTCAGGTAAAGCGGCTCCCTTCTGGGACATCCGGGGTTCCAGAGCGCTGTATCACCCTATCCATCCCCCCACCCAACCCCCCTCTGATGCCCCACCCTGAGGTCCGTCTTGACCAACCACCAGGCCAACTGCCAATCCAGCCTCAGGCGCAGCTCCGTCCTCAGCCCCAGTTATACCCCCAGCAGGCGGGGCCCAGCAGCAGAGCAGGAGAGCCCTCTGTGGTTCTCTCTCACCGGGGGTCTCCTCTCTACCTGTCAGCTGATTCGGCTTGCTCTTCCTCATCTCTGCCAGGTAGGGGTCCTATGTTAAAACCCCCCGACTATGCCGCGGTGGGGAGGAAATGTCACCCGAATGTCACAAGCACTGGGAAGAGAAGAGTGGCAGGCCTCGCTTAGGGTTCCGCTGAGGAGAACTGCTCCAGGGGAGGGTTGGGTGGTGTTGATCCACCGTGTGTTGACAGACAGGAGCGATATCAAACTAATGATGTTTTCTTAGTTAGATTAAATGCAAAAATCCAACAGATACACTGTAGAATTAGTGTTAGTAAAGGCAAATGTTTGAGCAAGAAGCACAACACAGAAAGCCTTGTATAAACTTGTAAAATGACACCATCATTCTTTTTCGGTGTTACGCATCTCACTTTTCTTCTATAGTTGTTGGACTGGAAATAAATTATCCAAATGATCGATATGCTAATGCTAATGTTAGCCATGCTTAAACTCTTCTGGGAGTACATTCAAGAAATATAAGACTTTCAATATGCATGGCTTTATAATCCATTGCCCAATTTAGCTAAAGTAAACAATATATTGTGACATGCAGACACACATTCTTGTTATTTTTGTATCATTAAATACACATTTTCTGGCTTTATCACTTCTCGGTTATATGGTTTTTATTGTGATAATGCGGTAAAAGTCTTATTTTTTAACCTACACTCTGCGATTAATGCACCATACATTCCATTTACAAGTTCTTCCCATTATCACTGGATTACTCTGGTTTCCTGTGTAATCTGAATACCGTAGTTTGGTATCACTTTTTCCAGAGGCAACGGTTTTAGATAGCAGGTGAACGAACCATTGTAGCATCTGCTTAGTAGCTCAGTGGTTAGTTGTTCCTCACAGAGAGCAGACTGTCTATGTGTGGAGCTCGCATATTTCCCCCACATTCTGCTGTTTTCCTCCGGGTTCTCTGGTTTCCTCCCCCGGTCCGAAGATATGCAGCTCAGGTTGATGTGAGACTTGCACTCCCAGGTGTTACTATGATTATGTTTCCATGTTTTAGTTCTGATGGACTGTTGTTAGTTTGCTTTTATTTCAGTGCATGCTGGGATACACTCCAATATGTTACTCCAATGTTCTGAAAACATATCTGTCAGTCAAGGCAAGGTCATACCACAATCGTAACCACATCTAGAGGTGGCTAATGACTTCTGTTAATATAATAAGCATCCATTTCCTCATTTTAAAAACATAATATTCTTGTTTTACCACCTAAGTAATCCAACATCCTCGCTTTCGTCAGGAATCAGATCCAGGCTCATTTGGTATTGATCTACTCCAGAGGCGACCGGCTACTTTCTTTGTTATTAATACATCCCACTTTTTTTTGTTCCTTTTCTTTTTTTTTGCACGCACAGCTCATCTTTATTTAACAGTCCTCAAAAGTTTCTGGGGTGCTCTGCTTTAAACATCACACAGGCTTTTTAATTACAAATGAGTTGTGACAGGTCTGCTGGGTAGCACCCTGGCCCATTTTAAACGTGATGCCGGCTGACAGCTTGGCAGTGTTCTCCCAGCACTGAAACATGTGGAAGAAATTGGTCTTTTACATTTCACAGCTTGTCGCTTCCTCCGCCGACTGACCTGTGACCCCCCACAGAGATCCTAACGCCCACAAGGGAAGTGTCCCCATCGAACTGCCTGCCTTTCCAGAGAGGGAGAGGAAAGGGAGGGAGGCACTCACTATGGGAGATTTATGTTCTGCCACACAAGGCAAAAGGTACCGGGTCTTTTCCGAGGGCTCACACACAGACACGGACGTCGACACACACACATTCTCGCAGCCAGGTGAGGAGGTTGCCTGGGAAGTGAACCCGATACGTAAGTGAAATAACGGATCAAAAGCCGTCCGGCACAACACCTCGTCCACGCCCGTTCCCTAAGCCGACCTGACGTCTGGGCCTCATTTGCATACAGACCTGTTCATTTTGCATTACCTCTGGAGCGAATTATGGCATTCAGATGTGGAGATTACGTCAAGGTTGAAGGGAGCGATCGGACGGACAACTTTAACCCAGCTAAAGAAATATGGAAATCCAATTGAGCGAGGAGAAAAAGAACAAATTATCCCCTTCCTCAGCCCTCTGTCAAGTCAGTAGACATTTACTTCCCATTTCATGCCTCTCTGTTTCTGATGTGTGGAGATCACTTTTTTTCTGCCGTGCGTGTGACACCGGGATTTTTCCTCATTACCAATTTGTCTCAGAATCAGGACAAGTATACGGAGACCTCTTGTCATTGCGATAACGTACACACGGCAGAGCTTGACAGTGAGACTGGAAGTTTGTATTCCTGAGGCCTTAAGTTAATTAATCCCCGTAGAAAAATCACAGTGCGCGATGAGGTGTCTATTACAGAACCAAACCTGACATCCCAATCCGAGATAATAACTCTGACAAGTTCTGATCGAGAAATCTGAAGATCCACTGTCCTTCTCGTGATTATTTCGCCATTGGATGATATTAATTTACTCGTCCAAGCATAGGAGTGCATTTGGTGTTTTAACGAAGAGATTAGCTACAGGCACACTGGGTTAAGTGACCTTTCACATTAACTGAATGATCCAGTTACATTGGGTTTGTTTGAACCCAAACGACTAATTAGATTAGCCTCTTGTTTCACGATCGCCTTTAGAGGATCACTATGAACACGCGCATGATTGCCATATTGCTTCTTCATTTCTCTCTTTTTTTTTTTTTTACAAATGCATCGTAGACTCCATCCCCTTGAGCGCCGTAGGAGATTTCGAGGATTCCTCATCTAATGTCTTCTTTGGAGCGCTGCCCTGCACTTTCAGGATGTGCTCCCCTCCGGGCCGGTCCCAGTCATCAAGAGTTTTTTAAACCACAACGTTACGTCATAGCCTCTCAATCAGTCGCACTCTGCATCCTGCCAATTAATCCAACTACAGTAATGTCCGGATTCCAAATGGATGGACTCAACCCTTTGAAGCCCATTTGCAGAAATACACGTGTATCATGCTGTGTGGTAAACAAGGCTAAAAGATTGCATGTGGGACAAATACACCCAGAGGTGAAGTCTTTCCTCTAAAGAGCACCAGCCTTTGTTGAAATGAAAAAGACAGATTCGCAGAAGACTTCAGCATTGAGAGTGAACCAAGTCGTTTTCTACACATTAGTATGCATTTAGTGTCTGTTATTGTCATTAAAATGCAATGGATTACAGGAAAATAAACTCCTGTGTAAAGCGACACCAACTCCTCACCGTATCATAGCAACCTTAACACGAGATCCGGACGTGGACTCGGGGGTAATCCGTGAGTCACTGACCTTCGATCCCTCTATAACTTCGGACCAGTCATCAGGCAATTAGGGGCCTAGGTGAGCGAGAGCCCCCATACAGCCTTGGTTGCATCTCACCAGCAACACAGTGATGGGGTCTCCACAGTGTTACGGCCCCCAGCCTTCCTCTCTTTTTCCTCGGCCTGTTTTGGTGTGCAAGCAGGAGAGAAAAGAGCTGTGTTGAGTTGTGAGGTACACTCATTTGTGTTTCTACGCTGGAAAATGTGTGTGCATGTATGCAAGTGTCTACAAATGAATATCTTTGTTTGTACGCCGTCCTGTGTGTGGGTGCAGTGCTCTGGATGTGTGTGTGTGTGTGTCAGAGCGCAGGGGGATAACAAGGAGTTTGTTGTTGGCCTTGAGTGCCCGGAGAGGCTGGAGTTGTGGCAGCTCCAACGCTCCGAGTTCACAGACGTAGCCCTTAGCTGTCGAAGCTGTCGATGCTGTCGATGCTGCCTCCGCGCTCACCACGGTTCCACAGCGTCTGCGCATTAGCAAGTGGGGCCTGATGTAATGAGTGTGTGTGTGTGTGTGTGTGTGTGTGTGTGTGTGTGTGTGTGTGTGTGTGTGTGTGTGTGTGTGTGTGTGTGTGTGTGTGTGTGTGTGTGTGGTTGTGCAGTCTATGAAAGCATCCTAGTCCACAGTGGTCCAATTCGACAAGTCCACGGTTGCTGTTGTTGTTAGTAATAGAGATTNGAGTGTGTGTGTGTGTGTGTGTGTGTGTGTGTGTGTGTGTGTGTGTGTGTGTGTGTGTGTGTGTGTGTGTGTGTGTGTGTGTGTGTGTGTAGTCTATGAAAGCATCCTAGTCCACAGTGGTCCAATTCGACAAGTCCACGGTTGCTGTTGTTGTTAGTAATAGAGATTGAGGTGTGTGTGTGTGTGTGTGTGTGTGTGTGTGTGTGTGTGTGTGTGTGTGTGTGTGTGTGTGTGTGTGTGTGTGTGTGTGTGTGTGTGTGTAAAAGCAGCTGGCAATGGGCCACTTTGCCGTGTCTCATACTGTTTGCATAGTAACACATACTATAATATACTATTGCTGCACTTGCAACATTTCACATTTTTATATTAGCAATAAAATACAACTTTACTTTGCTAAATATGAATGAAATACAATTTGGAAATGCAAAATACACAGATTTCTTTTTGGGGGGTAAATGCAGTTTGAATATAATATACATATTTTATGTATTTGACCAATTGTCCCTTTTATCTTCATTATTTATATGAGCAATAAAATATGACTATACTCTCCTTTGCTCAATATGGGTGTTTTATACATTTGGAAATACAGAATAAACTTCTAAACCTTTTTTTATGGGTGAATGTGGTCTGAAAATAGTATAAAACATTCTTATATCTGACCCAAAAGTGGATCGGACTTGTACCTCTTGAAATGTTCCTTCTTCCTTTGCTCTCTAAATGCTATTCCATCTCTGACATTTCTTCATCAGTGATTAAAAAAGAAGGTCGAGACATGAAGAAATGTTAACACAGTGAACACAAAATATGTGAAATGATGTGAGATTATTGAACTCTTGACACAAAAGTCAGTTAACAATTATGTAACGTCTTGGAAATGCAGAAATATAAATTATTTGATTCCTGGAATAGAACAAATATAACCCCATTACCTTGTAACTGTAGGCACTCCACATGTTTACCAGCAAAGCGACGGTAATTAAAAACTACAGCTGTGTTAGGATGAAATCTGATTTCAGACCGGTTTAAAAATAGCAGGGAGCAGACTCCTCCTGCCATTTAAGTACATTTTAGCTGTCGGAAGGATTTCTGATGTGTCGCCTCTATTTAAGTTATTACTGCTGATATATTTAATCCCGCAGCAAGACAAAAATTATATCATCGCGCAGGCTTCCATATGCATCATATAGATGTGACTGGTTCCACGGGGGGAAAAGTTTCACATAGTGAGATTTGTACATGTATCAAGCTAAGGTTTACTTAATTACAACCTCCAGGCAATGCAGGAACCCTTTTTTAAATTCTGTGAATGTTAATATGCTAAATAATGCAGATCTCCGACTCTTCAAGCATGAGACACACATCTGGCGGCTTACCATTTAAATTACAGCCGGAAAAAAAAGAAAAAAGAGTGAGACAGATAGATCGAGAGAGAAAATAAAAAAGAGGGTTAGGATGAAAAAATACTTCAAAAGTCATTTTCCGGAGAAAAGAAGAATGGGGAAATGTGTTACAACCCAAGTTAATTTCTTTTGGGATTTTTCATCATTTCTAATTGCGTACATTAGAGCGTTGCGGAAAGGGAGGTTCAGCTCTGAGATTTTTTTGGAGACAGACTCTGACTCTAGGTAGTATACAAAAAAACATACAGTAGATTAACAGTAAACAAGTGTGTTCAGATATGCAATACCTATTGTATTTGATTTCCTCATACTGCACACCGAGTTTTAGTCATTTTAAACCTTCAATTGTTGTTTTGATTAATGTTTTGTAAGTAAATCATCTTTTTGATTTGTAATGTTTTTTCATAGTTAAAGTTGTTTTTTGTCAGTTTTCATTACTTTAAAAAATGGATATTTCCTCAGTACTTTTAACAAGTCTATACTCGCAATCATTTGGATTTTGCAATATAAATACCACTCCGCCACCCTTGATCCTAACTATGATTGCCAGATGTGGTTTGCGAAAGAAAACAAACACGAACATTTTGTACTTTTTTTCACACTCACTGCACATTACTTTGTCTTTCTTTGGGGGGGGGGGTTGCAGGGAAGAATTCCTCCTCGGGAGCCATTTCTGGAAACACGGGAGAGAAGAGCGATCCGTGCAGGGAGAAAGCAGAGGGCGGGATCCACTACAAGGTAACACTGTGATTTAGGGGGGAAACTGTTCCCACCCTTGAAATGAGCACCCTCTGCTTTCTCCTCCCCGCCCCTCAGTGCGCCCCCTACACACACCTCCCTAGCTTATTATCTGAGATTTGTCAAAATACATTTCACACTAACAGGTATTTTTCTGCCTTCAAAGCCAGTTTTGATCTGCTTGACAAGCCAAAGCAGCTCCAATTCTGTGAAATCAGCAACGCCAGCCAGGCCTCCCCTTCTCCTCCGAGCCGCTGTGAACACGCCTCTTCCTGTGCTACAGAGGACTTAAGCTAAATTAATCAAAGCCTGCATGTTACCTGCCATACTTTGAAGTGGTAATTGCAAAGTGACTCTGTGTGCTGATCTGGCATTGCTGCTATTGTTCCTCCTCTGCGGCCTTTTGTTGGTGCGATGTTATTGTTGAGGTAGTGAGAGGCCTGTGAACAACATCAAGCCTCCGTCTGTCACACACAGAGCCTCCCCCCCGCCTCCTTCTTCTATCCCTCCAAGTCTTTATTCCTACTAACCTCCTACTGTACATGAGGCTCCTCAGTCCACCATTTATCAGTGATGACCGGTTTAATAAATGAGTTTGTTGATCTGAGGTTTTATTTATCCTTAGCCTCTGTAGACCACGTTTTTCTCCTTCTCCTCATGGCCCCCTATCTTTAAAACCATGCTAACTCTGTCAAATGTCGTGCTGTTGAACCCAGTTGTCTAATGATTAAGTGAAGTGATCTCCAACCTGCCCCAGCCTGGGAGCGCTCGGGATCAGATTTCAACCCTTCAACCTGCAGTGCGAGCCTAATTAAAATGAATTTTCTCCAGGCGACCACTTTGCCCACAGGGCAGGAATCCAGCTATATACGGAATCCGCTCTTAAGGTATTGCATTAAATTTATTGTGGGGAGACACAGGAGAACATTGTGGTTTATATATCTCCTGCATTTTTTTCCCTCCCTGCCTTCTTTTCCCGCTCCTTTCCACCCTTTTATTGTGATCATCACTCTGGAATCCAAGCTTGCTTTGGCAAAGATTGCCCTATGAAAACGGATGGAGCTTTTATGGGGCCCTGCCCATTTACTACTTCCTGGGCCCAGTTTATCTCACAGGGAGAGACAGAGATGGAGGAGAGGAAAAAAAAAAAAAGTGGTGAGACAGGGGCGGAAGAAAGGGAGAGGTTGCTTATTCCAACTGTGGATCTCATTAACATACATCAGTGAGTATTTCACAACTTCAAGCAGAAAGGCACTAAGCCCACCCAAGGGCAACACAGGCAGGCTGACAGGGCCAGGGAAAGCAAGCCGTTAACATGTTGGCGGCTTAACAAATAATATCTGCTCCCAAGTACCTCGGTGAAATATTTAAAACCCCACTTCCTAACTCCATTTGACTGTGTTTATGACGATGACAGTAAACGACTTGTGTGGAAAAAAACAGTGCCAGCTGCTCCAATATCACATATTTAACGTCACTGTACGCACGTTTCCAAACGAACTCAACTTGAATGATGGCGTGCCGTATGCGATTTCGCCGTCATTCTTGTTCTCGTGTCAATTGAGGCACGGTTGAGATATAGGAGAGGCTCCGGAGTGCCACGCACACTGTCACTGTCACCGTGTGCATCCCCCAAGATAAATTCAGAGGCCTGTTTCCTGCTTTGATTACAAATGACATCCGCATGTGTTCTCCCCGATTTCTGCTCCTCACAGAAGAAGCCAATCAAGAAGACAAATAGCTGCGGCCCCAGCATGAGCAGCGCACCGCCTCGGCAGGCAGGCAAACAGAAGATGCAGCCTTCAGTGGAGAACCTCTCCACGGAGGAGATGGAGGAGTATACATTCTCCCTACAGTAAGTCTCACCACTCATTATCCCGCCTGAGTCTGGCAAAATTCAAACGTGGGGAAGGGAAAAAAAGGAAATTGTGGGTGACGACAGACAGTGATGTGCACGGCATCAAGCAGCTGACAACCAAATGTGCCTCCAACACCTCAGATATAGATACAGTAGTCACATGGCATCCGAGGGGAATCCAAACTAAATGAGTGGTAGGGTTAATCTTCATTTGTTACCAGAAATAAGTTAAAGGCGGATATATTTCCGGAGCCTCATGACCTGCCCTTAAACTAGAGAAAGTTTGTTAGAAAGAAAAGACAGGACAAAACATTTCTGCATTAGATTTACTTTGAAATCAAATGCAGAAATGTTTAATTTCAACATGCAATTTCCCTCAGTGATTTACATTTTTGCGACAAAAGGAATCAATCTTTTATTTTAAACTAATTTGCTTTGTAACAATATTGCACAGCCAGACCAAACAATTGCTCAACCTCCACCCATTATGTCACGATGTGGTTTATTTGTTTCCTGCTCCTCTGCACAACAAAACGCAACAAAGGAGGGTTAGGAAAAATGTGTTTTGCTCTCTTCTTCTTCTTCGTCTTGGCTTACAGCATTTGATTTTAATGAGAAAACAGGGATATATGAAATATAAACAAAGCAGGATGCACGGCATTTTTAAAACACCTTGGCCAAAACGTGTTAAACGCAACAAGGTAGCTTCACCGTTAGAGCATCAGAATAGGCTAAAAGCAAAATTGCTTATTTCAACAAAAAGATTCACAGGTATTTGTTTTTATTTCAACTAAATTAAGGGGAGGGGATTGTGTGTGTGTGTGTGTGTGTGTGTGTGTGTGTGTGTGTGTGTGTGTGTGTGTGTGTGTGTGTGTGTGTGTGTGTGTGTGTGTGTGTGTGTGTGTGTGAGGGAGACAGAACGAGAGCTCTCCCTGGAGATTTAGAAGTACCCATGTTTCCTCATTTCTGCGAGTTGGTAATTTATAGCTGCTGGTCACATATTAAACAAGATCAGAGACTACTCCCTGACATCTTCTGAACATACTGGGGGAATTCAAATGATTACCAGCGTATCCTGCCAACAAATGACGACACAGGGACTATCTGGAGGGAGAGCGAACACAAAACGAAACACAGAAACCCGGGCAGGCTGCGCACAAAGGGACACAATTAAATGGTTTTCACGATTATTCATAGTGCCGCTTTTTACCTCTGAGCGGTCGCCCGGGCTCCGTGAGATGAGACATTTCTATCAGTTATAGGTACGGAGTGTATTGAGTTGCAGCCCTGGCGGTTCCCTGATGCCCTGTGAAGGTGCTGCTGCTATTGATTTAATCTTCACACGCACACAGTATCTCTGAGCTAAAGGCGCCTTTTTTCTTTTTGCCCTCGCCTAATCAGAACATTAGGAAGATACCGGCTTTCACAGGGAAGTTAAAGACACTGCAGTCATGCATACAAGTCGTTCCCTCACCCGTCTCTCCCACTGTGCTGTTTGACTTACTCTGGGATTCTCTACATCACCTGAGGACTGACAGACGAAAGGGATTGTTTACGGATTTTTTTTGTTTTATGTGCCGTAATGATGTCATCTCCATCTCTTCTGGCATTTTGTTTGTATCTTTGTATGCATTTGTGCATGTGTGTGGGAGTGTGTTTGTGTCTCCACTGTGTACAGTATGCGTGCGCACACATGCATTCTCATGTGGGATGAGGATTCATACTGCAGTGATTGAGGGATATTACTGCCATCTATTGAGCCACAAGAGATCGAGCTCATTGAGATTTTTATAGGGCGTCCCGACACCAATGTGCAAATCAGATGCTCATGCATTATTTAGCAAACACTTGGAAACAGTAAGATTCAGTTAGGATAGTCTGGGAAGGCTTTTACACAGAGCATTCATTTGCACACTGTCACAGTCAGCAACACTTTATTCTCTAAGTAGAATAAATGTAATAAAATGTAAAGGAATGTCTCACAGAGCCTCAGTTTGCTCAGTACCAATAGTTATAACACTAGTAAATAACGTGTGTGTGTCTGCCTAATTCTAACCCTAAACCTAACTGTCTGTTAACTTATAGACATGTTTTGGTTCAAGACAAATTCATTAGGCATGATTTACACTTTATTGTTTTTCTGATTGCAGTTTCAAATGTACTAAACATACATAATGTTGTGGTTTCTGCATCATACTGTATATGATGTGATACATATTGATTTTTAAATGTAATGTGTGTGTGAGGGTCAACTTCTCTGTGTATCTTTCGAGTTACACATTTAATTATCTTCTTTTGTATTATTCTATTGAAGTACTTGGCTGACAACCTCAAAAGCGCTCCTATCCACCTTTGAAAAGGGTTGCAGGGAATCACAATAACGGTGAACCATAAATTAAAATTCCAAAGACAAAATAATAATGCTATTTTTAATGTGAGTATTGACAGTTGCAAGTCAATTCTTGGCAGGTGAAAATAAGCCTGGGATAATTCTTCTTCTCTTTACAAGTTTCTTTGCTTCTGCTATCTGTTTGAACATGCATGAAAGGCTCCTGCCGACCTTCCAGCTTATTTGATGTCAACAAGTGTAAACTTAACCACCTTTTTTCTCACAGAATAGCACTGAGTAAAATCAAAGCACCTGATTCAATGCAGCTGTTGTAATTTGATAGGGCTAATTTAATGCGTACGGATGGTGAGGCAACATCTTCTAGAAAAGGTAAACATACATAAAGTGAATTCATTTTACAACTAAGAAAGTGCTATTCAGAAAAGCTAACTGTTGCTAGCTTGTGTAAAGGCTTGACAAACATTTGACTTATATTCAGGGTTAATTACATCCCAAATCAGTATTATTAGTTGTTTTTCTTAGTATTTGGTCATATCTGTTGTTACTTATTTTTATGCATCCATGTTTATTGTAAATTAGCTTTGGGTCTTAACAATGTCACCCAACAATTTTTGTTCTGTTCTGGTTTTGAGGAGAGAAACCTGTTTTAATCAAAGTCATTCTCACGTAGCAATTAGATCTAATTAGTCCAATTATCAAGATTCTAATTACATTGAAATATACCCCCTAAATCTCATATCAATTATAGTATGTGTCCTGATCAGGAGACATGAAGAGAGACAAAGTAAAGGCATATCTGGGTGGGAGGTAGAATGAAAAAAGGCATCCACATCCTCCGGAGGCCAAACGACTGCAGAACTGACTCCATCTGTCCCCAAAGCTTTGTATTCCAAAATGCCATTTGGGGATAAATGTCACTTAACCTTTATTCTTTTTTTTTCTATTCAGAAGTATTTTGTTCCTACTGATGATCTTATGAGTAGTTACATCCTACACTTGTGTTTCAATTAGAAGGATGAGGAGTCAAAATAAATACGAGTGGCTTCAAAGCTATTTATCAAACACTATTAAGTGTGGATTAAAGCTGTCGAAGCAAAGGGGAGGACATAATTATCACCTGTATTAAAAGTACAGCGTGACCTTTGGTAGCACATTCACAGAAACACGCACAGACAGTATGTCACTATAGCACAGCAGTGTACTGTAGGTGCACCGGCAAAACACACACACACATGCACACACACGCACAGCCTGTTCTTGTTGTGGAGTCAGAGGGAACACACTGACCTAATTTCCCCCAGTTAGCTCGCCTCGTTGGGGACCAACAATCCTCTCCGCCCGTTTCCCCCAACCGAGCCTATCAGAGCACTCACTCACTCTGTGTCTGTCTCCGTCTTCCTGTGCCCTCCATCTGTTTGCATACAAGTTATATCGTTCGCTGCAGGATCACGTGCCGAAAACATTGATAACATGCACCCTGAAGTGTCATTCCTCCTCTAAAGAAGAGACTCATTGAGGGGAAAGAGGGATCGCTCTGCAGAAACAGACAGGGAGAAAAACAACTGGAATAACAGCGAGTCCCAGGCTGTCAATCCCCGACACACTGCGGCTCCGAATCACAACTCAGTGCAAGGGTCAATCAATTCTGATGTAACGCTGGTAGGAGAGGTGGGTGGAGATGGCAGTGCTGTTCACCCCTGGGTCTGGAATGTGTCTGCATGAGTGCGAGCGTGCATGTGAAAGAGAGGGCCCCTGGCTACCCAGCCCGAGTGCACATGTTAGGGTTTCTGCGGCCAGACGCGCCCTGGGTCACTCCGGAGCTCACAGACGTACACAATCAACTTCCTTTATGGAAATCACAGCTGTCAGATCCCTGACAGGCTAACGTTGCGATTTGATTGGTTAATCTGCAGTGATGTAGCTGTCAGTCAGAGCCGAGTGCGGTCCCATTGGTGTTCCGGGTCAAACGAAATGTATTTCCCACAGACACGTACGAGAGAGGAGTGGAGAGGAGGGGTTCAGATAGAGAGAAAATGACTACATGAGGGAGCATTTGAGTGATTGCGTGTGATTTGTCCATGATGGTGGGTGTGTGTGATAGCCAAAGAGACCCAGGCCAGAGGTGACACCTCCCTCACGCTCTTCTTTTTTCATCTGTAATCACTCGTTCCTTAAGACTGACATAAACACCCCAAAAAAGATCTGAAAAGTCAACAAACAACTCGCGGAGAATTTAAAAATGGATTTGTACACGCAGATACATGCCTGCTAATGCACTGTAGCACAAACATGCACTAATGCACTGTGCCCTGTGCAAATAAATATGAACTTTTTAGGAAAACACAGCTGACTGGCAGCTCTAATAATACCACTGACAAGTCGTAGATGCCAATGTAATCAGAATTTGATTCTAAAATGAGTGTGTGTGGTGTGTGTGTGTGTGTGTGTGTGTGTGTGTGTGTGTGTGTGTGTGTGTGTGTGTGTGTGTGTGTGTGTGTGTGTGTGTGTGTGTGTGTGTGTGAGCATGAAGCAATCAGGACCTGTTTTAGCCATTCCCAGTTTAGAATTGAAGCATGCTCGATTGATAATTGCACAGAAGTTTACAGTTGCTGTTTTGTCTTGTTTGTAAGCTTATGCAAGATCAGAG